CCAAAACCAAAATATAAATAAAATAAAATATGCGGGAGAGGAAGACACACTCTTCTTATCTCCTGCCCCTATGGACACTGCTATTAAAACAGTTATTTATTTCACCTCACTGTCTGAATCTGTAGGCATGTATTCTTGGGTTTTTTCCTTTTTCCTCATACTATCTAAGAGAAACTTGACATCAACCTACCTTTTTCTGAGTAATAAACATTTCCTTTGATCTCAAGCAGAAATGGGCAAAGTCTGGTAACACCTTTTTTTTTTTTCCCTACTGATATTTTACTTAACATTCAATGCACAGGAAAAGTGTATTTTTTCCCAGAGATATCTACTGCCCTCTGTAGGATTATTTTACATAAAATATTAGGAACAAAGTAGAAGAAAACATTAAAAAAAAACCCACATAAGCCTGTCACAGTACTGTATCACATCATCAACATGGTGGAGGTGGCTTATTAAGTTGATGTCTCTTACAGCTTCATAACTTCATTGATTTTATAGATTTGGCACAAGGAATAAGAAGAATATTCCCAGCCAACACCATCAGACTTTTGAGACTGCAAAGTGCAAACGGGGTGCCTGAAGAACAGTGAAGACAGCGGGTATATGAGGGTGTTCAGAGCAAGTAAAAAACATTTTGCAGAACCGCTTGCAGAGCATGTCTCAAGAGACTCTGCACTGTGTGCAAGCAAAACACTGCCATGAACTCCTGAGAAAAATTGCTGTGGCAAAGTCTTTACTGAAGTTGCAGGTTCCAATATATTTGTTTCCTTCTTGATACTACCTAGGACACAGTTTTATCATTGCCATGGATAAAAAGCAGATTAATGTATTTTAAATTGCATATGCAAATGAAATTAAAGGACAGGGAAGCAAAACAAAGCTATTCCCACATAAGCATGGGCTAAGTTATTCTGACAATTCAGAAGAGAACTGGCTCCAGTTGTATGAAGGGATTAGGATGACATTAAAAAAAAACTCAAAACCCACAAGCCTAAGTGCTCAATTCCCCACAAAACAAAAATGCAATTAAGACTTCAATGGCATTTTTCTTTTAAAAAAGCCTGCAACCAGGCTTAAAAATACCCTGTCTGGAATGTAACTGCAATTATAATTGGCTAATTACTATGACAATAAATAAAAAACCTACATATTTAGGCCATATACATGGCTAAATGTATATGTACTACGTGTATACTACTACTACATGTAGTACATGTAGTATACATGTACTATACTACATGTATATGTAGTATACATATACATGTAGTATAATACATATATACTACATATATGTATGTACATATATACATATATATGTATATACATATATATCTATAGGTATATACATATACATATATTCCCCATGCACTACAGCCATGTTATCATTTTATAACATGAGGAATGGGGGTCCTGAAATCCCTGTGAGTTCAGGTAAATTCCCTATAAAAGAGGAATTTTGCATATGAACTGAGGTTTGAACTCCAAAAAGCAAGTTAAAGCTATCAGGCCCTAACCTCAAAGAAGGTGCCCATAGGCCTGAACTACATGTCTGAGTGATCCTTACTAGAGGACACTTTTCTCTATATATTGAAAGTGGTGTCAGACAGCAAGTGGGGACTGAGAAAAAAAATGCTGAGGACACACGGTGAGATGTGGGGAAGAGAAGATTTGCATCTCTTTACACATTCCTTTGCTAAGAGCATGTGTGCACCTCACATCAAACATGTGCATCCATCCAAGAACCTCTTAATTTTCTCCAGTGGTGCAATCATTTTTGATATTACACAAATCCTTTCCTCAAGTTTTCTAAAAAATCAGTCGTCTCATCAATAACTGATTTATAGACTCTTTTGAAAAATCCAGGTTATTTATTTTCCAGTACTTGGCTGTTCTTCCATGCTCCATTTGCTGTCCCTTTCCTTTCTGATGCATTCTGTTTCAATTAATGCACTTTCATCACCACAAGCACAGACCACTGACTAACAAGACAATTTGCATTTGGAGGGAAAGGCCACAGATTATTAAAAGATAAAAATTACAACCTACTTTTTGTAAGAAATGGTTCAAACATTCGAACACTGAAGGCCACCTTCTATCACAAAGTGACCAATCATGCCAAAAGAGGCTGATTTTTATTTCTCCATTTCCTGCCTCAAAACCACAACATCTCCCTACTGGGTAGAGAGGTGAAAATTTACCAAGCCTGGCACACAGCACAGTCATGTAAGTCTCATTTTCTTAAGCAAAATACAGGATATGGGTCAGAAAACCTGAACTGTCTTAGCACTTTGACAATAAACTTTGCCTGGCAATGTTACAATTAACTTCACAATAAGCCAAAAATTTGTCAGACCAATTGCTTTTGTTTCTCATGGATGCAGACCAACTTTGTGTCATGATTATACTTTTAAGAAAAATTCAAGTTCAACTTTACATAAGTCTCTTTTTTTTTTTTCCAGACCATAATTTATGACTGGAATTTTTGACCAGAGCAAAATTCTGAGTACTTAATGCAACTTATGTAGCTTGTCAACCTAAGAGCCAGCCTTGTTTCCTTTAGTCATTTGTAATATTTGTAGGAAGCAGTTCATCTCATGTGCTTCTTCAGCAACCAGTTCATCTTTCTCAGGAGATGAATTACAGTGAGGAATGAGGGTTGCCAGAACTGTCTAAAAGCAGTTGATATTTAAGTTAGTTGACAAATTATTGTTATTTCTCTGTATGCATAAGGACTTCTTTCTTTCTTTGTTCTTTTTAGAAGACTAAAACCAGTACTTTCCTTATTTAGTCATCTTGGTTAACTGAGAAAACAGCTAAAATAGATGGAAGTCCTCTCCTCCATGCAGCATAACATCACACATCCCATATGGGGTAAGGATCATTTCACAACCAACCCATGCTGCAGGACAAAACCAATCCCACTCCACCTCTCCCCAGTCCAGCGCTTATGGAACATGAGCAGAAGACTGTTCACAAGAAGGACAAAGAAAGAGACTGGGGAGATATTACCAAGGAAAACAAGGTTTCTGCTGCTCAGACTAAAACCTTTTAGCTCGTTCTTTGAACTGAAAGCCAAACCTAATTCAGATTTAGAGACAACTCCTACATGCTGATGTTACAGTTAAATCATTACTGTGCCTTTTAAAGATTACACATGGATTTACCAAGGTAGAATAATGCTAAATTATTAGCTTATTATGCTAATACATTAATCTGTAATATAATTATATTAGACAGAGCTGAATTTTATTTTTCTTTTATACAAAATATGATCAGGGTGTTTCAGAATGTCCCTGGAGAATGCTGAGGGTCCTCCACTGCCACCATAACTTTTCTGGGGTAACATTCCAAAACCTACTGACAAGGCAGTCCTAGGACAACAATTTGCAGAGAAGGAAGAGCAGAATTTCCTGGAAAGGACCAAGCATAAGAACTAGAGAGAAGCTGACCCAGACCAGTGCTTTTCCCTGGAGGAAAATGCTCATTACAGTTATCAGAAGCTCTGCAGGGCCAGCGAGGAGACGTGAGCCTGAAGGCTGCCACTGTCAGGTCGGTGCAAGGAGCCTGTGCTGAGGCCCAGTGCTGGCCCCTCTTAGGCAGCACAAGGACTTTGGGAATGTGGGAATTGCTGCCAGCCCGTGCCAGCAATGTGCCCATGCCAGGCTGGAGAGATGTGCTGGGTTCTCAGCAGCCACAGCCCCTCAGCCCTGCTCCCAGCCACAAACTGAGGCTAAGGAGGGCTGTCAGACCCCTGCATCAGTGAATGGACACAAAGTCAGGAAATGTCATTCAGGAAAGCTCTGCTTCACACACAGCATGGCTCTGAGTGTTCCTGATGCGCTGCCACAGGCATCAGTTCACTGCAACATTTATAAAACATACACATTTTATAAAGCATAACACGTTCCTGCCTTCACACACAACATGAGATGATTCCTGAAAACAGATTGGAATTGTGTAATTTTGTCTCTTACAGGATAGTCCGTGATAGTGATGGAAATGAAAGCAAATGGTACTATTTATCATATAAATACTTAGCAGAAATCTTTAGTGGTCATTTTTCATTCTTGTCAAACTACTCATCAAAATGTCTTGTTTTATGATTAATTCATTCCCCCTTATCTGTGCTTGAAGCAAAATGAAAAAACATGGTACATCAGTGCCAGGACTTTTTAAAGTTATTTTTTGGATGTCCCTTCAGGCCAGCAAGTCACAACTTCAGATATATTAAAGGAGGACTATACTTATTTCAAGAAGAGACAGCTGGCTTTTGGATTATAGATGTCATGTTTACAACACACAACTTCCAGGCAGTCTTACAACTTCTGGAGATTAACAGAAAATCCGATTTCCTCCGAATGAAGCCGCTATGAAGAAAATCCAAAAGATGACTTGCTTACCTTTGTCAGTGCTGCCTGTTGGGGTTGGAGGGAGAAGGCCAGGCTTGGATTTGTCATAGTTGTTAAAGCTCTGGCTGCGTCGGTTGTTGGCACTGATGGACCCACGAGCTTTGGCCTCGCTGCCTGCAGCGGACACCCTCATGGTGGGACCTGGAAGTCTGGTGGAAGAATTTACAGCATGTTTAAACATAGGTAAAAAAGCACTCTGGGCAAGAAGCTATGGGACACCATGCATAAGCTGAAAATATAAGGATCAACAGCACAAGGATAGGCTCATAAGGGTCTTTCTACTTCCGTAAGAACAAATCCTAGGGTGACATAATGGTGTTTGTATCTCCAATCGTGTGTTCTGTTTATGATTTGATATTATGTTCTGTGCTTTCAGAACTGACTCTGAAAGTGAAGGTTTGTTTTGCCTTGTTATCAGCCGTGGGTTCACCTCCCCCCATGGTCTGCTGTCTAGAAAAGGCTGGTGCTGGCTGGCTTACTTTTACTTACTTGCTTACTTACTTGCTTGCTTGGCTTGCTTGCTTTGCTTGCTTCTGCTTTTGCCTTTGCTTCCTAGTTAATTTAGCTAAGCAGTCCAATTCTTTCCCTAAACTGTTTCTTTTCCTTTCCTCTTCCTGAATACCATCCAACCTGCTCCAGACTGGGATCTGGGAAACACCAAGGAACATGGGAAGCCTGCATTTTGTGATCTGCAGCAGCCATCCCCAGTACTGGAGAGCAATCCCCAGCATCCAGACCCGGGTGACCACCCCCAAAAAAGACTTTCTAAATTTGTTCATCTCTTCAAAATAGTGAAAGAGTTTTGTTGTCATCTAGTATTATTATTTTTTTTTTTTAGTGCTAGAGAGTGCTTTATTCATTGAATAACTAAGTTATTTTCCACTTCTCTCAAAGAAAATTTTTTCCCGAACCAAGTAAGTAGAGAAGGACCGTAGGAGTTTGTTTTCTAGAAGTTCCTCCCAAAAAGTTTTCATCAAATTTACCCTAAACTAAAACATCTTAGATGAAAAGTGTATGTCAAACAAGCTGCAGTCTATAGGAAAATGTGCAGGACCCTGGAACCAGGGTAGAAATTATGTTTGGCTCTAGATAAGAAGGCTGAAGGATAGCTTTGATAAAACTATACTATATTACATTAATATACTATTTAAAGAGATACTATACTATTTTACATACTTCTTATTTACCTATCTAACTAACAAACTCATGACTCTCTGCTAAGAGTCCAAGACACAGCTGGATCTGATTGGTCATTGCTCAAATAACTTTTACTGGAATCTAATTAAGCAATTACTTTAGATAAACAATCTCTATACATTCTACATGGGGGAAACAAAGGAACAGAGATAAAGATTGATAAAGATTGTTTTCTTCTCTCCGTGTTTCTCTAAGAAATTCTGAGAGACAGAATTATGTCTCTCTGTCTAGAGAATGTGAATGTCACAGCAGTCTGAATTGTTTTATACCAGATAAAAAGCCCTGAGACAAAATTAGCAGTCACCTGCCATAAGTCTGGTGAATCAGAAATAGTTGCAGGTAAATTCAGGGGAGCAATACCAGTGGCAAAAGTTTAGGACTAAGTGAGGCATTTCTGTTCTTAGACCGGATTGCTGGCCACATAAAGGTTACCCTTATTTCAGAAATAACCATGAGCTGGAACTTGGTGGCCTTTTCCCTTCTAGAGAAGCACATCACATCTCTGCCCTGACAGCAGCCAAGCCCAGAAGACTTTAACCTGATTTAATTATTTGAGCCTATACAAATCACACAAAGCTTCAGTACCCTCTCCTAGAGTAACCACATTAGCAGTGAGCTGGTGTTAGCCTCTGGTTTAAACTGGGCATCTGCCTCTTCCAACATTTGCTTACCATAACCTGTACTTACCAGATTTAGCTGTTTAACTGGGAAAAAAAAATGTAGTTATTCTGGAGTAAGCAAACAAACTTTTATGCTTTTCAGGCAAAAAGGAAGGTGGAAGACTTCTCTAAAAAGCCACAGAATCAGGAAAGCCACTGGCATCACATCTCAGAACACTTCAAAGCCAACATTCACACACAGAATCTTTTTAAAGCTTCTTCATGTAAAACACAAAAATCTATTCAAATAACTTGTGTCAATAATAAAGTAAAAGGAAGAACTCCCAGTTGTCAGAGAGTGGGGATGCAACTGACCAAATCACCATTGTGCCTCTGAGAGAAGGAAGAGAAGCCAGGAAGGAACCTGGCAGGGCTTCCTAAATAAACTGATTTAACCAGGACCAGTGAAGAAATAGAAAATAGGGAAAGAAACATGGAGAAAAAGCCAAAATGTCAGCAGCTGCATGCACATGCTTTCAAAGCTCAAAAGAGTCTAAGACATGAGGGCATCATTCAAATACAAACCCAAAAATTAATTTACAAGCTCAAACCACCACAGCACAGCACATCATGGTTCTGAGGTTGACTTTTAGACCAGTCTCTCAAATTATTCAGCTTTTTCCAGTACTGGGGGGTGCTAAAAAGTTGTCCATACTCATCAGTGCAGCAAAGGGTCCAAGACAAAACCCCAGAGGAGCTTCATCCACTGCAGAGGAGACCACAGGGGAAGAAGCTGAGGACAACCAGTGACAAATGGAACTTTTTGAAAAAGTTGCCAAGACAAGGAAGTTAATGAAAAGTTTTTTTGTTTGTTTGACAGGAAATGAGCTAGGTTTTCTACAAGGTACCTCAGCAAAGGTACCAACGCTGCCACCTGGTTTTGAAATACTGAGTATGGGGCACCCACCCCAGGATGGCTACAGGGGCCCCAGTATGGGAGGGAAGTTTTGCAGCAGCAGGGAAGGGACAATCTTCCTGTAGTGATGGATAAGAAAAGGCTCCCCACACATATCCACACAGGTTTTGCAAAGCTGTCACATTTTAAAATAAACAAAGCTCCTCAAACCATGTGACCACTTAAGAAGTGACAAGTTTTCCATCTGAGTCAGTATTGTCACTGCCAATAAAAACACACTGAGAATAAAAAACCTACATGCCAAAAGCACTTTTGAAGACAGCCTTACTCTTATACTTTTTTTGTCCTCCACTGTAGTTTAACTAACTGGTTTTAAGCCCCTGCTTTTGGTATTAGGTCAAGATACTTCACAGTGGTGTCTGTGAAATCTAAGGAAAAAATCAGGTTCAGGGAGACACTTCTGGGTTCTTGCTGTTTAGAGAGAAGGTACTGAGCTTGGAGAACACACTCTTTTACTACTCTTCAGCACCTCTGTTAAGCAAATATGAGCTGTCAAGCCATAATTAAGATAAAGGAAGAACATGAAAAGGAAATGTGGAACTTTTAACAGTGATTATTCTGCAGAGATTCACTGTTGGCATACAAGAAATAAGATGTGGGAAATAAATCTAAATTATACAGCAGAAAAAACAATCTATACAAACTGAATAAAGACCATAAGTTATAGCTCACAAGCTCAGCAAAAATTGTATGGTATAATTTCCCAGTGTACAACTATATTGCAGTCAAACATTTAAATATAATAGTAAAACAACAAGATTATTACACAGATTAATAACCACAGCAACCCTTAGGATCACTGAGGTGAGATGGACAGATGAGCTGGCATGCAAACCATGCTGGGGTGCAGGGAGAAGGGACTGAAATGCCTCTGCTTCACCTGCAGGGAGGTGACAGGTGCTGGGGTCAGAGCTCTGGGGACAGCAGGGACCCTGAGCAGCAAGTGCCACACTGGTGTCACCTCACAGCATGCAGGTGACACTCTCCTCACCAGCTGAGCCTGATGCAGCTCAGATGTGGGATGGAACTGGATGATCTTCAAGGTCAATTCCAACCCAAAACATTCTATGATTTCAATAATGCAGGTCAAAATATAATTAATACAGTGAGGCAAGAACTCCCAGAACCATGTTTTGTTCTCAAAAGCAAAAGCTCCTAAGAACAAAAAAATCATATAATTTCCTTGAGGGCCAAAATGCATTCCACACCTCATTAAAAATAAATAAAAAAAAAAAATTGTGAAAAAAAATTAAACCCATCTAAAACTTTCCCATTTCAGCCATTTGCAAAGGCCTCGTTACAAACTGTTTTTGACAGGAACTCTAAACATGCACCCAGAAATATTGCAAAAGGATTATTCATGCTTTGCAGAAGATGAAGAAATGCTAACCTAGAAGACCTTTTCTGACCAAGAGTGAATTGGATGATTTTGCTTTGAGATGAGTCCCTGGGAGATGCACTGTGACAGGAAAGAAAAAGCGGAAGAGAACATTGAACAAATACAACTTTTTTTTTTGTTTTTTGTTTGTGTTTTTTTTTTTAAGCCACTGAACTTAGTAAGTGGTTTTAGGGAAAAAAGTGGGGTTTTATGAATTTCACAAGAATATAAAGCTTCTTGCCCAAATATGACTTCAGGTCAAAACCACTACAGTCTGAAATTAATTTTTACAGAGTAATGAACATGCAAATCTGCATGCAACCCCCAACTCTATTCCTCTTTTCCTTCTTGCTCCTTTATTTTATATATTTTCTGTAGAGTCTGAGCAATTTCTCTTTACTTTAGTACACACTAAGAAAACATGACATTTAAAATCTTCAGGATATACATATTTTTCAATTACTTGAAACCCAGCCCAATCTACACAATGGACTGGAAACAGCAAAACAGTGTCCAGCATCTCTGCATGTTTGACAAAAAATTTGCAGAAATCTCTTCAAATATATATTTATTTTATGGTAATTATTTCCTGTTTATACATGCTGTAGGAACACTATGTTTTTCAACTATACAAAACTATTGTTTACACCCAAATGAGCATAATTTGTGAAGAAAGACATAAAAGCCAAACCCAAATAACCTCTGAGCAGTCCCACTTGGAAGGCTTCAGTTAAACTGTTTATATCCCTCAGAAGGCAGCACTTAAGCCAGCATTCACCACAAGGTCTGTTAACACCAGCAATACTCAATAGGAGATTTGTAAGAACAAGAAGCCTTCATATTTTAGCAATTCTGCAAATATGATTTCTGCTTTTAATTCTCTTTCTTATCCCCACTAAACCCTCCCAGTTTTAGCAGTGCAATTGTCAGACCAGTAGAAAGCTGCACATGCATTTACTGTGGTACTGCCTCAGAACACTGCTTTTATTCCAACCTGGCCAGAGCACTTCTACTATTAAAGACATTCAAGGAACAAAACCCTTTTCTATTCATCTGTACTCTGATTTAGGAGTGCTAACAAACACCAGCAGTATTTTTTTTTATTTGACCAAAAAGTCTAGATTTGATTTTGATTGCCACCAGGTGTTATGAGCTCTATTTCTTTTACCACTGTCAGAGTAACCCTTCCCCACACTGGAAGGTAACCCTTCCATTTCTTAGTGAGGACTGAAACTCTGGTAATCTGAGAACTGAAGTTGGTTTTCATATGCCTAAAATGCATGTTTTCTAAAGTGCATGCTTTGTGAGTAGAAGGAAGCAAAAGGAATAGTGAGAAAAACATCTTTTTACAATCCTGTGGTTACTTGGTCCAGCAGGGATGTTACACCCATTGGGCTGCAGATTTCCAGCACTGAAAAGATATTTAAACACACATGTTTTGATTTCCAAAGGCTTGAAGTCAATTGCTACCCAGCATTCCATTCCCAAGACACTTTATTCTAGAGCAGAACTAAAGAAAGGAGTTTCTTTGGCTTTTTAAGACCTGCAATGAAAAG